GCATTAAGACCTACTACCTAAAATCTTTGTGGTTTCAGGACTTCAAATGGAAATCCAAAAGCTAATCATCAGCTTCACAGACTCAGTAATTCAGTGTTGTTAGCTAACTCAGGGAGTACAAAAACTTCAGATGATGAATCCATATGGATTCCAATCAGCCAAACCTCAGTGGGATAGTTGGATAAGTTACATTGACAACTGTCCAATTTTTTGTGAAAAAGTAACCAACAAGGTTGTCAATTCTGGCCCTTTGCCTAGAACCCTTCATGTTAGCATCTATACCCTTATCCATATCTATACATCTATTCAAGTGCAAGTAAATGTCATTCATTATCAAATTATAGAACAGAGTTATTTAAATTTAAGGGGATCTTGAAATGAAACTTCAGGTATTTGTAGGAACAAATAAATCACAGCTTATATTAAACTACCATAGCTGTAACACTGTTACCTACATTGGGAAAATTTCGTTGAATCTCATTAAAACAGCCTTTCCTAAATGTAACAACAGTAGAAAATCTACAAACAGTGTGAGAAAAACTAAGCTTCAAGAATTTTAAATTATTTCTAGCTTATATTCCCTAAATTTTGATAGCATTTAACATGCTATGACCTATCAATTATATATATAGATACATGAAACTCTGCAAAATATATTGGCTGTTTTCTCTCTTATATAAAAAGTCACATGTTTTTAAATAATAAAAATATAGGTTAAGATAAACATGAATCTTTAAAGTTATAAAGATGTTGTTATTCTTCAAAATATTATTATTTATTTCTGGATTAAATAACAGAAAGTAAGATTAAGACCAGCTTGTTAAAGAAGCCAAGGCTGAGAAACTTTGATTCCCTTAGCCCAAATTGTAAAAGAGAAGAAGTTTGATTCCTACAAGTTCTCCTTTGAGCTCCTTCACATAGTCACATGTCTAACATAGAGACATGCACAACATGCTATAAGTAACAAACAAATCACAGCTTATTTTAAAATGAGTGAGTTTAGAACCTGTACAATTTATTGAGAATTTCTACTCTAAACTGAAGATCCTATAGAGTTCTCATGTTGCTAAAATTCTACAGCACATTCAATGATACATATCTCTTACTGAAAAAATTTTTCAAGGAATTCTATGGAAAAAATATCTTGAGAAGTTTTTGAATGGATGGAATGAAACAATTTCCTGTCTGCAATTCAAATGCTCAAGGCATGAAAGTTACCATCCTTCCCAGAGTTTTCCATAAATTTTAGAAATTTAGAGTATATTAGTAAGGGTAAGGGAAGAGAAGGAGTCTCAAAGCAAGGTATAGGTAAATGGGAAATGTAGTGTGGGGTTGGGAGTGGGTGCTGGGGAGATTTGCACCATTCAGTCCTGTATTTTTTCCACAGCATCATGATGCCTTTCTGATCTAAGTTTCTGTTCATACTGTAGCTCCATCATTCTTACCTTCTGTTAAAGTCCCGCTTGGCCAAGTCTTTGTTCCCTGTGAGACTGTGTCACCAACATGCTTACCCACACTTCTCTCCCAAACTAAAAGTACCAGAAGAGATAGGGATGTGGTTCCAGGGTAGAGTGCTTGCCTCCCAACTGCAAAACCCTCACTCTCATCACCTGTAGTATCAAAAATAAAAATGTCATAGATACCTCCATAATCCACACCATCATGTTGTGAGACAAGATTGACAAGTCTTTCTACAGTCCTTGAAATTCCTTCCTCTTCTCCATCCCAGTATAGGAGCAATAAGGAAGAAGAAAAACTCGTCTTGACTAAATAAACATATTTTCCTATTTGGTTGTGGTTTTCAGATGTTATCTTTGAATTCGCAAAAAATTCAAAAATTTTTACCTAAACGATATTCTCTTCTGTAATGTGAGATAAATTTGGGTGCGAAGAGCCAAGCTTTGTGGATTGAGAAGAAAAATATTTTGGGTCACCAGAAGATATCTTGTGCCACATAAATATTTGACATAGATTTGGCCATGATTCTAGTATATGATGCTTATAATCCCTTAAGAAGAAATTCACTTTTAATTTATAGTTGAACAATAAATTATTGCTGAGTTTCTTTTGCCTTGTTGGGTCTCTTCCTTGTTTCGTAATACATTTGGGACATAATCTTCATAGTTAAATGAGGAATGATTTCTAGGAATATTGGTTTAAACCTGAAGAGTATCACTAGCCATAAAAGGACATTTATAGTTATGGGAACAATATCCAGTTTGCTATGTACTTTACCACCTGGGACATCAGTCAAGGTACTAGTCCTTTCTACTTCATCTCATCCACAAAAGTGTATTGATTTTCTTTATGCTGACATACCACAGAGATTTTTATGAACACGGAACAAAAACTTTCCTTCCTGTGGATGTTTGTAGCCTACATCATGGAGATCCATCTCAGATTAGCCATAGTCTCTTTGATACTTTCTTTGCTAGTTAAAAAACATTAAGAACTATATTTTATGGATATTATTTAAGTACTTTTTACCCTGAACAAGTACTTGGTTACATTTGTTTGCTTCAGATAGGTTTCTTCCCTTCCCAGGAAGCATACACATGTTTTCTTGTTAATAGGAATTTCAAAAGAACAGTTTTGTCAATGCTTATTACACTTGAGAAAGAGCTACAGGTACACTAGTGACTAACCTTCCTTGTTTAATGAAATCCAAGCCACACACTGTTGATCTATACATCTGGTGATTAGTTTGCATTCCAATTGGCTAGCATTCACCATATTTTTCTTTATTCTTTCATTTTTTTCTGAGTTCTGCAGTAATTTCTCTGTGGATTTCCTACTTGATAATGAAGTTGGTAGTAACAGTCTGTTTGCAAAGCAAACACTGGATTGTTCACCTTGCAGCTTTCTTTTTCTTTTTAATTTTTTATAAGATATTCTACTTACATTTCAGATGTAATCCCCTTTCCCCCCAACCCAGGAACCCCCCATTCCATCCCCCCTCACCCTGCTTCTATGAGGATATGCCCCCACCTGCCCTCCAACTCCCACCTCCCCACCCAGGATTTCCACCACACAGGGGTGTCCAGCCTTCCAGCTGTATATGTCAGGGAGGATGACAGTGTCAGGCATAGGTGGATGAGGAAGACCTTGCAGCTTTCTATCATTGATTTTATATAACCTTTATACCTTAATTCTCTTTCACATATATTTCTGCTTTAGTGTTTTGTTTATATTTCTGATACTTAGGAATACAATGTGGATGTGCTTCCTGATAAAACTGGGGTCAAAGTTTTATGAATGAAACTAGGCAGCTGGACATAATTTATTTTTTTGGACTCAATTTGTTAAGAAACATACCTTCTGCCGGGCGGTGGTGGCGCACGCCTTTAATCCCAGCACTTGGGAGGCAGAGGCAGGTGGATTTCTGAGTTCGAGGCCAGCCTGGTCTACAGAGTGAGTTCCAGGACAGCCAGGGCTACACAGAGAAACCCTCTCTCCAAAAAAAACAAAAAAAAAAAAAAAAAAAAAGAAACATACCTTCTATCAACAGTTAAATATAATAAAAGTATAAAAGTCTATTCCTTCATTTTGTATTCTCTGAGAATTCCCTCTAATATTTTTCTCTTTTAAAAAGCATTATTATTGGTTCTTTATGACTATCACATCATGTAACACAATCTCACTCATCTTCCCCTCCCCTTGTACCCATCCTATCCTCTTTCAAGCTCCCTTGTAACAGACTTGTCCACACTTCTTTGCTTGCAAATGTTCATTGTAATGCCTCATTGGTCTAGTACAAGGCCTCTTGCATCTCCCACTCTATTAGTACTGGAATCTCAGTGGGATTTCTCTCAGATATCCTTTTGTTGCCCTCTGTCATGGAGACCCTGTAGTTTTGGATCTGCAGGACTGTTCCCTTCATATACTCCAGCAGTATACAATGGCCTATACTCAAGGGTGTGCCAGTTCAAAGTCCTAGATCTGGGCCCCTGAGGTATCTGAGCTAGTCAGCCCATTAGCTCACCCACTCTCAGGCCCTTGGTGTAATCCCCACAACCAGAACCTGCTCTACTCTGCTGCCCAGAAAAGTTGCAGTTCCAACAGAGCCAGTTCTCCTACTCTGAAGAACTCAAGACCAGCTTGTCTTGTCTGATATAGGTGACAAGGGATGAAAAGAGATGATCTCTCTTAGTCATGTCTCTACACAGCAGACAAGTGGGTAGACCAACTCTCTCAGGGTTATGCACTCAGTGCTGGTTCTCCTGTGTCCCCACCACTAGGGTCAGCTCTACTGTGCTGCCCAGGTAAGGTGCAGGGCTAGCTCTCCTGAGTACTGCATCTGATGAGGGGCAGGGACAGCTCTCCTGCTTTCATGACCCCAGGACCAAGTCTCCCAACTGCCACAGATGACAAGGGGCAAAGAGGCAGGAGGGTATCTCTCCCTTGTCCATACCAACACATGAGAGATGAGGCACAAATCCAGCTTTCCTCTGCTCATACTCTCGGCACCTGCTCACTTATAACTCCCTCAATGTGGCAGTGTGTGCAATCCCTCTCTGAGAACTACTGCTGGCTAGGTTCCAAGTTCAGCTCTCCTGCTCTCCTGGTCTCCTGCTTTCAGGGCCAGATCTTCCATGATACGAAGGAGAGGGGTCCGTGGGTTCAGTTTTACACAGTCCCCACAGAACATGTCCCCGGGCCACAGCCCAGGCTAGTCACATCTGCCTGGCCTTTGGTGCCATGTACCATCACCAGCTACTCACATCAGACTACTCGTCACTACCCATAAGTCTACAGTTCTGATTCTCTTCATTGTGCCTACATGCTTCTGTTTCTTTCTTTTCCATTTTCCTATCACTTACTTGTTCCTCTTAGTGACACCTGGGGTCTCTGAGTCTTTAGGTTGTCTCAGGTTTGAAGTCAGGAGTGCTATGCCCTGCTTGTGCATTATGACACCGGGCAGGGTCATCTCAGGCATGGTCTGCCTCATCAAGCCTGTGAGGATCCAGACTGGTAGTCATCTCATGCTTGCTTTTATGGGGAATGTTAGACTATTAATCATTCAGGTGTTCACAGGTCAGAACATGAGCATAGACATAGCCTCGCTCCTCTCTGTCACCTATTGACAAACATGTGACACAACAGCCATATCTGCAATGCTTCAATTTTTAAAAAACATCTACAATTTGCCTTTCTTAGATTTGAATAATTATAAAATATAATTAAAATATATAAAATTTTCCACTGAGGTAAAATACTTTGCAATTTTATGCAAATTACCTCTTTTTTATTATTGGATTGAGACTTTTAAATTTTTTTATAATTTTTTATTTTTTTAAATCAAATCATAATTTTTACTTATTCACACAGGGGTTACAAACACAAAATGGCAGAACATGGGGGAGGGGATGACACCCAAGCATGGGTGTTCGGGGTGAGTACAGATATCTTTCAGAACATGGTATCGGCTGGGTGAAGGTTCAGGGGAAAGGTCACTATGACTCTGTCTATGATTCACTTGTCTAAGTTGGTATTATCCTCCAAGGCAACCTATTTATAAGGTCTATGACTGCTCAGGCTGATAAATTTCCACAAAAGGTACCTGTTTATAATAGCTTATAGCCCTCTGTTTCCATGTTTTTCCACAGAGACCCAAGATTTGGTGTTAGTATACATGAATGATAGGCCTATTGCTGATTTGAGGGCTATGGCTGATTTTAGGCTGTGGGAAATAATATAGGAGGCCGCAGTGGTAGAGTCCCCAAGGGTTTCTATGTGCTGTGGCGGGTCCCGCATGTGGGAGGAACATCTAATGTTCCAGAGGCCTGAGGCTTTGGTGGCAGCGGGCCCAAATGACACAAGGAAGTCCTTGGTTCCAAAAGGGTTTATTGTCATGGCAGATGGTGGATGAATCTGGAAGTACCCCCGTAAAACTCAGGGCAGTCCAGAGTTGAATAGGGAGGGAGAAAGGGGGAGGATCTGGGGAGGCATGCTTAGTTTGCTGTTCCCTCTGCCCTTCATTAGTATGTAAATCCCTAGGGCCTGAGGCCTCTAATCATGCCCTCTGCCTGTGCACTTTGGGAGGGGCTGTCTGGCCTACTTGACTGAACAATGAGATTCTATGGAGATGAGACTGCTTTTCAGGACCCTCGTTTCTTGGGGCACACCAAACTCCTGCCAGTTCTCAAGCAGAGTCTTGGGGTTCTAGGCAACTGCTCAGCCATGACCCAGAATACCCTTACACAGTCACACATTATGCCTTCAGTGTATAAGCAGGGCTGCCCCTGACATCTCCTCCCTTCTCTAAGTATAGAAGGGCTGTGGCGATTCTTATCTTGTGAAGGTGGGATAGAGGCCTGACCTCCAGTAATTGAAGGGGACTTTGTAATGGCTCCGGTCCCCCTGTTGTTGTCCAGAGAGGCATGAGGGTCATACCCATCCTGATGTCTTTTTCCTGGAGAGGGGATACTTTTGACATCAACCCCTATGCAGTCAGGCTTGTACCTCAGGGAACCCAGAGAGATATTTTTATCTTTTATTGATATTCCCTTGCAGTGCTTAGATTCACAGCCTAAGCAAGAATTCAGATTGACTGTCAGAGGGGGTTCTGGTGGCCCCTCTCTGCTTGGTCTAGGGGCAGAAGTCCCCCCTTTTAGGCACCCTGTATAAAGTAACAACCTCATCTTGAGTCTCGTGGTCCTCCATAGCTAACTTATGATAATGTATCTGAATAGGTTTTGCTACCAAATTATTTATCTGTTGTTTCACAAATTTAGTCAGTCTACTTAAGGCCCAGGGACCAAAAGAAATAAGCAAAAATAACCCAATTAATGGTCCCAAGGTGGGAGGAAGTAGGGTTGACAACCCAAGGAGAGGTTGAAAGCCAATTCTTGTACCAGCTCTCATCTTTCTCTTTCTCTCTCTGTCTTTTCTCAGTGCCTTCTCTGACATTTTTCATGCTCTCTTTAACCATCCCTGTATTGTCCATGTAAAGACAACATTCATCTTTAAGGGCTGTACACAGTCAAGAGCTGTACACAGTCTTTTCTATTGTAAAAGAGTAAATCAAGTCCAATAAAGTCCTTTGAAATTTTTGGAGGTCTTTTTAGACAGCGAAACGAGGGATTTATTCAGATTAGTGATGTCAATCTCTAGCTGTTTGATATTCTTGTCAATGGCCCGTCGAAGGTCTGAGTAGTATAAAGTTGGGAGTCAGCATCTTGATTAGAACTTCTAACAGCAGACATCATGGGTGATTCATTTTTACCTGAGATACTGTCTGGGTTAGAGCTCCTGGGAGGCCCTTTTCCTCTGGGTTTTGGGAGGTTGGGTTCAGAGCTGCTGCCTGGGATCTGCTCTGTGCTCAGGCCCAGACTGTAAATTCCTCAAATTATCTCTTAACAACTTAAGATTTCATTAGGTTTAAATGGACTTTTTTTCCCCCAAAGTGGAAAGTCCATGTCTTAATTTTAAAGTCTGCTAACAGGCTCTAGGTCTCTATTTCATCGTCTCTTAAAGGCAGGCTCTGAAAGGAATCCTGGGAAAGTCTTTCACTATGATGATTATTTTAATTGAGTCTGTTGTGACCCATTTGTCTTGCTGCAAATCTCCATATGAATGAAAACTAGGACTAGATCTGGATTATTTTTCTGTGTTGCTATTTACATTATGAATTTGACAAAGTAATATGTTAATTTTCTTTAATCTGAGTAAACAATTATGCCATATTCTTGATTTTTAACCAAAAAATGAGAATCTCTGTGAAGAGATATTAGAGCATTTATCACAGTTCGTAGGATATAAAAAGTGCTAGAATAAGTTTAACTATATTTGGAATAACCTCACATCCCTTAGCCATTACTTTTAATTGCATATAATTGTTTCTCTTCACTGTTTCTTAATTCATTATTTAGAGAATAAGACAAAAAAATCTTCAAAATATTTAAAGCAGTACATTTTTAAAATAAATTTTAGTTGCTATAATCATAAAAGCAAGCATATAGTAATTACTAAAAGTAAATAGAAACTATAAATTCTAATATCCTTTCACTGACCTACATTGGAAGGAGCTTAAAAATTATTTGTTTATTATGGTGCCATGGTAACTGTACATGTCTAATTTTAACAGATCAAATATCTTGTTAATTCAAACATTTTTATCTGTTAAATTTCATGATATCATGAACAAGCTAGACAATTTTAGGAATATAGAGTGTTATGCGTGTGAAGATTATTATTTGAGTCATCTATCCTGAAATTATACACAACTGCATTATTTAAACAAGTAGGAGATGCCCCATGCAGTTATGATACGGCATGCACAAATGTGTTAACACATATTTACCTGAAGTGGTCTTTATCAGAGTTAAAGCTGGTTTTGAAATCATCTTTAAAACTCAACAGAATTTGCCTCCCTCTCAATAGTTCACATCTATGATAAAGTAACAATATGTCTACTAGATAAATTAGTCATTGTCCTGTTAAAAATTCAAAGAAGGTCTAAATCACAAAAAAAACCTACTAATATGGATAACCTAGTTTTGTTTTTATCAACACTTAATTTTTCAATATGCCTTAACTGAAACCATGATTTTGCCACCTCCCTTTTCTCCTTCTAGATTCTCTAAGTTCTCTCAGCACCTTCCTACTCTCAAGTTGTCATCTTTTTCTTTATTATCGTTACGTACATATGTGTATAGACAAATATAAAAACATAACCTACTGAGTCTGTTTTTGCTGCACACATATGCAAAAATTATATTATTACATATACATCTATGTGCAATTATACTACATATATGCATGTGTTCAAGGCTGATCAATCTGCACTAGGCATCCAGAAAGAGGAATAAATAAAAATAAATATTATTTATTCCTTCCCTGTCTTCTTCTAACACCTCCTATGCTCTCCCACTCAAATTAATGGCTTCCCCTTCTTTATTTGTTGTTTCACATCTACATATATACCTAAATACAGATATAAACCTGTTCAGTATATTTCATGTTGCTTTTATTTTGTATATATTTCAGAAATTCTATCATATTTATAATTTTTCATATAACTCATTTGTTCTTCCCAAGTATTCTTATTATTTCAAGAATCTTGTGCGACAGTATGATATATATACTTTAAATATGCCTCAGTAACCGAATTTAAAGCTTGAAACACTTATTGAAAAGTAAAATATATTTCTTGAAACTCTCTGTATGGATTTATTTTAGTTTTTTTTGTTTTGTTTTGTTTTGTTTTTGTTTTTGTTTTTGTTTTTTTTCACAAAGGTGGACTTTGGAGTTTGTTAACATTTAGAAGTTTGATGGAGGAGGAAAAAAAAAAACCAGGAATCTCCAAGGCTTCCTAGCAGTATGTTCTGGCAGATTGATAATATACAGATCCTAAGTTCTACTGGGGCACAATCTCAGTCACTGGTTCTATGGCAGAAATGTGACCAACTGAACAAATTCTGTGGGGACAATTAGTATCTCACCAAGACACTAAACTTTCCCAAGCTTTATTAGAAAAAAACTATGATACTAAATTTCTTTATAGCAAACAAAATAAAATGCTATTAAAATCTAAATTGAAATGTACTTTTGAAAAGATCATACATATTCACAAATAATCAATTTAATAATATTTAAAAACCAGACGATTAATCAAAAAATGTGAAGAATGTACTGACATAGAAAATAAAGTTAACTTTGTATGTGATGATTTTGAAACTATCAAGAGTAATGTTCATAATTCCTTTAAACACACAGATGTCTTATTTTAAATAGTCTATTGCAATTCTAGAAAAAAATAAAGTATGTTTGAAAATATCTTTAATCATCTAATGTGTACCCTTATTTTTTTCTCTAGTTGTTTACATTAGTGTGAATAAACTAGTAAGGATAGAAAATTCTATTTCTACTCTTACTTTTAATTACATTTATTTATTGGTGTGAGATTGTGTGTATCTATGGCATGCCTTCAGAGGACAGAATACAAGTTGTGGGAGTTTGTTCTTCCCATAGCATAGTGTCCAGGAATAAAAATCAGGTGGTGTCTTAGAGTTTCTATTGCTTCAACAAAACACCATGACTGAAAACCAAGTTGTGAAGAAAAGTATTTATTTACGTTGTGTTTTCATGTTATTGTTTCTTATTTAAGAAAGTTAGGAGCCGGGCAGTGGT